TCTTATACTTTCTCCAACCGAGACATCAGATGCGAGTATCTGACACCTCTGATATTTTCTGTTCTACTATATAAGCGTCCAACAAAGTCGCCCGTTCCATCATTGTCTATCCGATCGTCGACCCAGCAGCAGAGCAGCAGAGCAGCTGTACCAGAGCAGCGGAAGCAGAGCCTGGGGGCGAAAGGGCAACTACGCCGTTGGTGCCAGTGCTCCGGTATACTGGGCCGCCGTCATGGAATGCCCAGCTGCTGCAGTTCTCAGTCGGTCGTATTCACCGTCTGCTCCGCAAGGACAAATACGCCGAGCGAGTTGGAAAAATGGCCCTTTTCAAGGCCACAACATTATCAAGAAAGAGTTTAACGTACGTATGCGAGTATCTGACACCTCTGATATTTTCTGTTCTACTATATAAGCGTCCAAAAAGGTCGCCCGTTCCATCATTGTCAACAACATCAGCCCAGCAAAACGGACCTTTTCAGGGCCACCAAACTTTCGCAAAAGAGTTATTAAGGAATATTCCTAAAATATAATATACACAATTAAGTACAACACATAACAGACGTTATCCAACGCCAACCCTGCGGTCGTATCTAGTATACAACCCTTCCAACTTTTTTGAAAGGGTTTGAACAAACATGGAATTTGACTATATGTTTTAGTATTACTTCTACGTGAAGTCAACGATTTACATAGTTGAAGATGCTAATTTCGAATAACAGACTGTAGTGGTAATTTTTATACGATAGATGGAGTTGATAGTTCCGTTAGAGTACGGCAGTGTAAAGATTGCATATAGATATTAGAATAGAGAGCTAGGACAACTTTTAAGGAAGGTACAAATCGATATGTGCTCCTGTCATCGTCGATACCACGATATGTGCTCCTGTCATCGTTGACTTGACGATCTCGAGGGGACACGGGTGGAGTAGGTGCTGCTACTGTACCTTTCGACCATTGCAACCTGGAAGGAGCGGAATACCTAGCCCTGGTCCTCACAAGTTCCTACTTCACGCCTCCTCGAGTCATATGATAACAAAAGACTACCAGCTGAAACATGGACACAGCTGGGTGGCGTAGCTTGGGCAATGTTGCCAGTCCGGCAATAGCAAAGTGAAGAGGTGCGACGCGAACACTGGCGCGGTAACCATAGTACGGTGATAGAGGAAATGCTTCACCAAACCTGAGCGTCTGTTCACCATGGAGGTGCGGCTCAAAACGGCGTCTGTTCTCCATGTTAGGAGCGGCTGATCACCGTCCTAGTGCCAGCGTGGGACTCTAAACAGAGCTGTGCACGATGGTCCCCCGGCGAGACAGGGGTTGGGGCAGGCCCAACAAGCCACCCTGGAAAAAAAAACAAAGTTGCAAATACCGAAGAAAGAAATACGGATCGGAACAACCGGCACAGACCTACGCGACAAAATAAGGACTATGATTGGAAACTCGGAACATGGAACTGCAAATCGCTCGGCTTCCCGGGTTGCGATGGGTTAATCTATGACGAACTTCAACCACGCAACTTCGAAGTCGTAGCACTGCAGGAACTTTGATGGACGGGACAAAAGGTATGGAAAAGCGGGCATCGAGCGGCTACTTTCTACCAGAGCTGTGGCACCACCAACGAGCTGGGAACCGGCTTTGTAGTGCTGGGTAAGATGCGCCAACGCGTGATTGGTTGGCAGCCGATCAATGCGAGGATGTGCAAGTTGAGGATTAAGGGCCGTTTCTTCAACTACAGCATCATCAACGTGCACTGCCCACACGAAGGGAGACCCGACGACGAGAAAGAAGCGTTCTATGCGCAGCTGGAGCAGGTGTACGACAGCTGTTCGCAACGGGACGTCAAAATCGTCATCGGCGACATGAACGCTCAGGTAGGACGGGAGGCATTGTATAGACCGGCAATCGGGCCAAACAGCCTACATGCCGTATCGAACGACAACGGCCAACGATGCGTGAACTTTGCAGCCTCCCGGGGTATGGTAGTTTGAAGTACCTTTTTCCCCCGCAAGGATATCCACAAAGCCACCTGGAGATCACCTGACCAACACACAGAAAACCAAATCGATCACGTTCTAATCGACGGGAAATTCTTCTCCGACATTATCAACGTCCGCACGTACCGCAGTGCGAACATAGATTCGGACCACTACCTAGTTGCAGTATGCATGCGCTCAAAACTCTCGACGGTGCATAACACACGTCGAAGTCGAACGCCGCGACCCAACATTGAGCAACTACGGGACGCCGGAATTGCCCAGGACTACGCGCAGCAGCTGGAAGTTGCACTACCCACGGAAGAGCAGCTTGGCGCAGCTTCTCTTGAAGATGGCTGGAGGGACATCCGTTCTGCCATAGGTAGTACTGCTGCAGCGGCACTAGGTACTGCAATCCCGGACCGAAGAAATGACTGGTTTGACGGCGAATGCAAACTGTTAGTAGAGGAGAAGAATGCAGCACGGGCGAGAATGCTGCAACACCGCACGAGATTGAATGTGGAGCGATACAGACAAGCGCGGAACAGACAAAACTCGGTTTTCCGAAGGAAGAAGCGTCAGCAGGAAGATCGAGATCGCGAGGCGATGGAAAATCTGTACCGCGTAAACGACACACGGAAGTTCTACGAGAAGCTAAATAGTTCGCGCAAAGGCTACGTGCCGCAAGCCGATATGTGCAAGGACTTGGACGGTAACCTTCTCACGAACGAGTGTGAGGTGATTGAGAGGTGGAAGCAGTACTATGACGAGCACCTCAACGGTGAAGCAGCAGAAAACGAAGGTGTCACGGCAACAGACCTTGGAGCACGCACAGAAGACGACAGGCTACCGGCCCCTGATCTTCAAGAAGTTGAGGAGGATATCGGTCGGCTGAAGAACAACAAAGCAACTGGTGTAGATCAACTACCAAGTGAGCTTTTAAAATACGGTGGTGAAGCACTGGCTAGAGCGCTGCACTGGGTAATTGCCAAGATTTGGGAGGAGGAGATATTACCGGAGGAGTGGATGGAAGGTGTCGTATGCCCAATCTACAAAAAGGGCGACAAGTTGGATTGCTGCAACTACCGCGCGATCACACTGCTGAGCGCCGCCTACAAGGTACTCTCCCAAATTCTATGCCGCCGTCTGTCACCATATGCAAGAGAGTTCGTGGGGCAATACCAGGCGGGATTCATGGGTTCCCGCGCTACCAAAGACCAAATTTTCGCGATTCGGCAGGTTCTGCAGAAATGCCGCGAATACAACGTGCCCACACATCATTTGTTCATCGATTTCAAATCCGCATACGACACAATCGATCGAGATCAGCTATGGCAAATTATCCATGAGTACGGATTTTCAGATAAACTGACGCGATCGGTCAAGGCGACAATGGATCGAGTGATGTGCGTTGTTCGAGTATCGGGGACACTCTCGAGTCCCTTTGCATCTAGAAGGGGGTTACGGCAAGGTGATGGACTTTCGTGTCTGCTGTTCAACATCGCGTTAGAAGGTGTGATCCGAAGAGCTGGGATAGACACGAGTGGCAGGAATTCCATCCAGCTCCTTGATTTCGCCGATGACATTGACATTATGGCACGGAACTTTGAGATGATGGCGGAAACGTACATCAGACTGAAGGCTGAAGCTAGACGGATTGGACTTGCCATCAACGCATCAAAGACAAAATACATGAAAGCAAGAGGTTCTAGGGAAGACAATGTTAGCCTCCCACCCCGAGTTCAGATTGACGGTGACGAAATCGAGGTGGTCGATGAGTTCGTGTATTTGGGTTCACTGGTGACCGCCGAAAATGATACCAGCAGAGAAATTCAAAGACGCATTATGGCAGGGAATCGTGCCTACTTTGGACTCCGGAGGACGCTCCGGTCGAATAAAATTCGCCGCCGCACGAAGTTGACTGTATACAAGACACTGATTAGACCGGTGGTCCTTTACGGCCACGAGACCTGGACTATGCTCGTGGAGGACCAACGCGCCCTTGGTGTTTTCGAACGGAAGGTGTTGCGTACCATCTACGGTGGAGTGCAGATGGATGACGGAACGTGGAGGAGGCGAATGAACCACGAATTGCACCAGCTGCTGGGAGAACCATCCATCGTCCACATTGCACAAATTGGGCGACTACGGTGGGCTGGGCACGTCGTAAGAATGCCGCACGACGACCCAGTGAAAATGGTTCTAGAAAGCGACCCAACAGGAACAAGAAGAAGAGGCGCGCAGCGGGCAAGGTGGATCGACCAAGTAGAAGGTGACCTGCGGACCCTTCGCAGACTACGAGGCTGGCGAACTGTGGCCATGGATCGAGTAGAGTGGAGACGACTTCTTCGGACAGCAGAGGACAACAAGGCCTTAGCCTGATTGGTAAGGTAAGTTCACTCATAATCGCCAAAAGTGCAGGAACTCAGCGATGAGTTAATTTGCCTCATGTTTTCCCAGGTTTTCCCAGGATTTTCCAGGGAAAAATTCCTGAATTCGAGAAGAAGTAAAGATTGGATTCACTCAGTCTATTGGTACTACTCCGAGACTGAATAAAATTTTCGTCAATTTCCTCATTTTCCGGCAGATTTTTTAGGTTTTCCACAGGAAACCATGAGACAAATTTTACTCATCGCTGAGTTCCTGCACTTTTGGCGATTATGAGTGAACTAAACTCAAATTTGAGTCGTTCTCTTTCGCCGTGTATTTACATCTTGCATTGGCAACACTTGATCACTCACACACTCACAATAGCAGGTCGACTGCAAAACATGGATCATCTTATTAATTCGATAGAGAAAATCGCCATTTATCGTCAATTAGCGATTTGCTTTTCTGATAAATTTATGTGCGAACACAAAGCTAATGTGTATTTCTATTTCACCTGGTCTTAAAAAACTTCGTACCTGCAGCACCTCCAAGAGTTAGATGAACATCTGTCCATACCCAAACATCATTAAAATCCACACACCAGCCATGATTCTGCTTTAGCTCTTGACTTCAATTGAACAACTTCCGACTACCGGGATGGATCTCCCGCTAAGATCCCTGCTGCTGCTAGTAACGTTCATAACACTGACTACACCTCCGACAATCGATAGCTTTCCGCAAGGATGCTGCGTGTCCTGCTGTCCCACGTGCTGCAACCAGCAGGAAGTCACCACGGAAATCACAATGGCAAGGGCCACAATCTACCCTCCGGGCGAGGATTGCGACGATTACGATCTGGCTGCGGAGGCTACCTATAATCAGGACGGTTCACCCACTGTGGATGATCATATGCGAAGTCCTGGGAAAGGACGTGGTAGTGGTGGAGGTAAGGGAGGTGGTGGAAAGGGTGGTGGTGGTAAAGGAGGTGGTGGTAAAGGAGGTGGTGGAAAGGGAGGTGGTGGTAAAGGAAATAGTGGAAAGGGAGGTAGTGGAAAGGGAGGTGGTGGAAAGGGAGGTGGTGGAAAGGGAGGTCGTGGAAAGGGAGGTGGTGGAAAGGGTGGTGGTGGAAAGGGAGGTGGTGGAAATGGAGGTGGTGGAAAGGGAGGTGGTGGAAATGGAGGTGGTGGAAAGACGGAAGCTCCCAGTTCTGGAGGTCCAGGAACTATGCAACAAGTTCAAACCGGTATGCAAACAATTACAGCAACGGCCAATCTGGCACAAGCGATTATAGGAATTGTAAAAGTCTCTGGCGGTGGAGGAGGAGGTGACGGTGGAGGTGACGGTGGAAGTGGCACGGAAAATGGGGCAACAGATGACGAAGCGGATGATGAACCAGAGACAGGGGACGAGCAAGTGGCGACATGAATTGCTTCTGTAACATTGATTAACTGTTGAGATGGCAATAAAAGTCTAGTTCTAGCTACTGGTTCCTTTCTCCCATCACATGCTTATACCCAAGTAACAATTTTTGTCATGGCTTTGAAGACGTTTATAAGACTTAAAGACCATAAGAAAACTGAAAATATTGAAGAAAGAACTGTCGCACGCGATGTATTGGTGTAAAAACGCACCACTGCTACAGATTCCTCCGTGGTTTTGAGATCGACAATGCAGTCAATGATCCACTTAAAGTTTATATGAAGCCTATTAACTACGAAGAATGAGCAGTTTTTATTTTTTCCTTGATTGGTTTTCCGTCGATCTTGTTTTCCGTGCTGAGCACCAATGTTACCGACGCCAGGGAGGCAGTTCCCACACCTGGACCCTACCTATCGACCCATCAACTCATGAACCGGGGACCAACGGCTTTACATCCCTTCAGAAGGAAGGCGTGATCAGAAGATGTTATGCCTTAGAACATCCCGGCGGCGCCAACTGGGATTGAACCCAGGCCTGCTGAGGTGAGAGGTAATCACGCTTACCACTACACCACCGGCACTGCTTAGGAATGAGCTGTCGCACGGTATGTTTTGAATGATTAAAGCGAGGGCCGAAGGATGACAATCCGAAGGCGAAGCATGCGCAGGGATCGAGCAGCGCGGTGTGTTTTATGGCCGGCAACACGATGCCAGCCAGCTGGGTGATTGACAGTGGTGCTACGGCGCATATGACAAGTGATCGTGCGTTTTTCCACTCGCTGTGCACAAGTGTTGAATCGAAAGTTACTCTTGCCGACGGCAATAAGACGAAAGTGAATGGAATCGGCGATGGTATTTTTTTGGTGAAGATGGACGTGGCGGTCGAGTGGAAATTACGCTGAAGAACGTACTTTTCGTGCCTGAGCTGGACGGTGGACTAATTTCGGTGAGCCAGCTAGCAGCAAAAGGTTTTGTTGTGGTGTTTAGTGATTCGGAGTGCACTGTGAGAAACGCTGCAGGTGAGACGGTGGTGGTCGGTGATAAGGTCGGTAGTCTCTATCGGCTGCGAGTTCAGCAGCGATCGCTGACGACTGGAGGTGAGCATAACGACCGGTGCCAGCACACTTGGCATCGTCGCGTGGGACATCGCGAGCCGGATGTCTTACGTCGGATGGAAGCTGATGATCTGGTAAGTGGTTTCAATTTATCCGATTGTGGTGTTCGCACAACGTGCGAATGTTGTTTAAAGGGCAAGCTTGCAAGGAAACCATTTCCTGCCGTGGTTGAACGGAAAGCGAAGCGGCCACTCGATTTGGTCCACACGGATCTCTGTTGGCCAATGGAAACCACCACTCCCTCGGGCAAGCGGTACATCATGACCTTGATAGATGACTTCAGCCGTTTTACCACCGTCTACCTGCTCAAACGTAAGGATGAAGCCACCGGTAAAATCAAGGAGTTCGTGCGCCGCTGCGAGAATTTGTTCGGAAGGAAACCCGTCGCCATAAGGTCGGATGGAGGAGGCGAGTTCTAAGCTGGATCACAAGGCGGTTAAACTCAAATTCGTGGTTTATTCGGAGGAGCATAAGGGTTATCGCTTCCTCGACCCTTCCACGAATCGCATCACCGTTAGTCGGGATGCGAAGTTTTTGGAGTTTGGAGATGGAACGGAAGTACAGAAGCAGCTAGGTGAGGCTGTCCCAGCCGAGAACCCAGAAAGTGAAATCGAAATCCCACTGGATACTACTGAGGAACAAAACGAAACAGCGGAAGCAGAGTTGTCCATTCGTGATGAAGATAGCGAGTCAGAGTTTGAAGGTTTTGTCAGTGCAGATGACAGTTCGGATGAAGAACCCCAAGAATCCGACGGGGAACATGCGCAGGAGGAGACAAGATTGCGTCGTCAGGATAGGAGAACAAGGGGTGTTCTGCCAACCCGGTTCGACGACTACGTGGTGGATGTTGCCAAGAACACGGCGGAAGAGCCCACAGATTATCGCGAGGCAGCTGAGGTCAAGGAGTGGAAGAATGCCATGGACGCCGAGATGCGATCACATGAAGAGAACACAACCTGGGAGCTCGTTCCGTTGCCAACTGGGAAGAAGGCAATAGGTTCCCGTTGGGTATTCAAGCTTAAGCGGAATGAATGCGGAGACATCGTTAAGCACAAGGCGAGGCTGGTGGCGCAGGGTTTTACCCAGCGCTACGGTGTGGATTACTTGGATGTTTTTGCTCCGGTGACACGTCATGAGACCCTACGTGCCCTACTGGCGGTAGCAGGAAAAACAAAATGAGTCTCCAGCACTTTGCTGTCAGGACGGCTTATTTACATGGGACGGTGGACGAAGAAATATATATGCGTCAGCCTCCCGGGTACGCAGTCGACGGAAAGGAGGAGTTCGTTTGCCGCCTCAAGAGGAGCATTTATGGGTTCAAACAAGCGGCACGGTACTGGAACCGCGCCCTCCATGAAGTGCTCATAAAAATGGGTTTCAAGCAATGTAAAACGTTCGGCATGACGGGCAGACCACCATTTTCTTGCTCGTTTATGTCGATGATCTCTTGGTCGGATGTGCGGATCAAGCCAAGATTAAGGAGATTTTCGAAGCGCTGAAGAAGAAGCTGGACATAGTTAACCTTGGAGCGGTTAAGCATTTCCTGGGCTATGATGTTCAGCTCGAAGATGGAGTTTATAGTTTGAGATTGATGAATTACATTGAAGCGCTAGTAAGGGTGACTCGAAGATCGTGTTGAGGAGGAGTGTCGGAGATGGCAACACGTCTACTGTTCTATTCACCTTGCTACAATCATCCGTACGTTTTTCAGTGGGTGACTGCCAACCTCACCAAACTAAAACGAACGCGCACCGGAGTGGCGCGAAGCACATTTTTCTTTTCATTACCGTTCAGTACTTTGTACATTTAACACGCGAATTAAACCTTTCTTTTCTAACTACGAGTACTTGGTGTTTTATTGTCGGTGATCCCTTTTCCGGTCTTTCTCGTGTCGTTCGCTTTGCGTGGACACCAACACCAACCCGCTAACTTTCCGAAAGACCAGGGTGCACAGTTATGCTTAGAGTCCTTCACTGGCACTCGGACGTAGATCAGCCGCCCCTAACATGGGGAACAGACGCTGTTGTGAGCCGCTCCTCCTGGAGAACAAACGCTCAGGCTTGCCGAAGCAAACCCCCCCCCCCCCCCTCCCTTTCCCTGTCAGCCTATGACCAAAGTTGTTACCCGATCTTCCCTAAGGTTGCTCACAGCTTCCGGCCGGTACCACGTGGTGGTAGGGATAGGAGTTGCTAGGAAGTGGCTAGTGATCTCAATGGGTTCTGTAATGCGCATTACCCAGCATTTACCGACGTGAAATACGTTCACCTCCAATGGTGCAAAAGGGGGACAAGGGTGAAAATATCATATGAAATATGATCACCTCCAATCTGAAAATCAGAGTTTTAGGCCATTATTTTCACGTGAAATGTTTGGTTATTTAGTTCAGAAAATCTCTTAAACACCTTCATTAATTATTAATTAGAAATAAACTATTGCAGCCTTCTTCGTACCATGCGCAAGTGGCATAATTTATGACATACGATAAGATTTGGATTAGTGTGATTAGTGTGCCATGATTTTTCTTAACCACACGGAAAGAAGAAACAACTCAAAATCGTGATCGAAAGTACTTAAAAATAAGTACTCTAGCAACACTACTGTTTTGGGTATAATTTTGTTCTCATTGATGAGTAATTTTAACTCTGAAAATGTAAAAACGTGAATGATATATGGTTTCAATACCACATAACTTCTGAACATCTTTCAAGTGCGTTGACCTAGATTTGCCCAGGATCACCTGTGATTCCGATCAATTGCTTCTCTTAAAATATCCTCAATGCTAAATTCGTTCAAAAACAGCATGCAGCATCTTACGCTACGAGATAAACCAGCACATTCCACACACGAACGCCATCCTCTCCCAAATCAAACAGCGTAGCATTAATAAATGGCTCACGTCCACGCATCCTTTATGGCATGATCTGCTCAAATGTTTCCGCCTCTGGAAACGGCACGTGCCAACACTATTATCAGCAAACAATTCCCGCACTCACAATCGGTGTGACTCGCTTTGTCCCGGAATGGAGCAACGTTCGAAGCCGATTTTCCCACCAGCAACTCCAGCAGTCCTTCTAATAGCAGAAGGAGCTCCTTCCGCACAATCGTATTTGGATAGCTTTCACACAGCAGTTCGCATATGATTCGCATACGGACGGTCGGAACCGGACCGACTTCCAGCAGCATACTAGGTAGTGGCGGCAGTGTGTCAGAGAGCTGTCAACCTTAATTTAATTTATTGTCATTAAATGTTCAACCTTTAGTTTTATTGCTGTTTATTCCTGGCGCTCAAAATCTCCCAGTTTCGGGACGACTAATGGAAGCACTACGGCAGGGTAGAATTTTATAAATTTATTTATTTATCGAAATAGATCCTTGCGGTTGCTGCCTCCGGTCGAACGAAGACGGCTAAGTCAGGAAATAGTGTGGCACCGAGACTAAGTAAATTCATGTCTTCCGACTGAAAGAGCTCTGCTTCTTGGGGTGTAGGTGGTGCTGGTGGATGGGATTTATCGTACATCAGTTGACACATTCTGATTTTATTTATAAGCTCGTCGCACACACAAATCGCAAGGTATTTCCTCACTCAGATGAGGAAATATCACCTCGGTGTTAAGCCGTTTCCTTTCGCCTGTGGTAATAGTTCCTTCGTTGGTTGGTTGGTTGGTTGGTTGGTCAGCTCCAAATCTTAATGTGTTACTATAATACGAACAAACATACACGTAGGTATAATGTCACTGAGCTTCCCAGGCTTAAACGGAGACCGACAGTTGCAAGGATCTGGGTGAGGATTTTCACTTAATTATGTTTTATGGGATTTTTCTTTGCTTCTGCACACAGCACAGAGAGAGAGAGAGAGAGAGGAACGACAATTGTGAGCTTTCATGTTAAGACC